CCCAACCCCAACCCCAAACCCAACCCCTCATTATAATTAAATATAAACTCATTTTGTTCATTGTTCGAAAAATTATTTAAATTTATTAAATAAAAAGATATCTTTTTAAATAATTGCCACTGTTTTATTATGTTTATACATAAATTTTATATTCTAAAAAGAATAAGTCTGCATCAATTTAATTTTAAAAAATTTCTTTTCATATTATATAACCAAATCAAATTCATACATCGAAATATTTTTTAAGGGTCTCTCATTTATCATTAATAAGTTTTAAGGTACATATTGAAATCTAAATTAAATTATTAAAATATTTATTTACCCCTTTATTCCTTAATTCTTTGTTAATATATTGTGGTATTATTAAAATAACAATACCATAATATTCCCTAAGCATCATTTATTCAATCAATTGTCAAGTTATAATTACAACTAATAAAATGATTTTTATTTCAATTTAGATTTAAAATTCTTCAATCTAACAAGCTTTTATGAAAAAAGTAAACATTTTTTAAATTTTGTCTTAGCATAAATTAAATTTCCAAAACAATTTCTTTCAATTATTTAAAGTATAGTTTTACATTTGAATTTAAAGCTTCTGCCATGTTAGAAATTATATTTATAAAATAAGAATTAGGAAATTCTTCATTTGCTTTAAAATAGAAAGCATTCCTGATTATTTGATACCAATAAAAGTAATATACATATCCCTTAAATAATAAAAATAATTGAGATTAAGCTTTATATTTCAGGCATTATTTAAATTAATAAAAATCACTATTTTCAATAATTCCACAACTATAAAAAACTAAACTCCAAAGAAACTTAAAAAAGTACATATTAAATCAAGCAGTTCTATTGATATTTTATAATATTAATCTATATCTTTATTTATATTCTAAGATTATTTGTAATTTCAATTTTGTCTAAAAATTGTTGATTATAGAAAATTCTTGTAGTTCATGAAGTTATGCTTGATTTTTATTTTTATTTTTTAAGCTTTTTTCTTAAAATTTTCATTTTTTTAATCTATATTATATTGTAAAATATAAATAAGATTATTAATCTTTTCTTTTTGATCTTTTGTTATTACTTTTG